GGAGAGGAGGGAGAGAGAGAGCGAGCGCGCTAGACCTAATGACGCCTTGTGGTTAAGGCTGAAGTATAACTTGGAGTCATCTTCAAAGCTGGCGACCTCAGGCTAGGTGGGAATGTGGATGTTGTAGCAGAAGCTAGTGATGAGGGTAGGTATGCCCTGCAGAGGGAATGAGTTGCTCAAAATCTCTTAGTACTGAAACACCTAGGGGTGCTCACTAAAAATGTTATCAGTTCAGCATTTTTGGCAATTCAGCACAAAATGTGAAGGGAATAATGAAACAGAGGTTCACTAAGGAGGAGAGGGCAAGTCAAAATGATATGAATGACCTTATTTTACTGATGAAAATCAGTGGGCCCTGACCCCTGCTTACCTCTCCAGGCTCAGGCTGCTCCACACCCCGTTCTTTGCTGTGTTTTGACCAGATTGACCTTCTTTCAGATCCTCAAACGTCACAAGCTTCATCTTATTCCAGAACTTTTAGGCCAACTATTTCTTTTTAATTATGCTTTCCCTTCTTATAACATATTAAACTCATTAGTACTTATAGATGACTACAGTTCCTTAAAACGGTCGCCTTGGAAAGCCATATACTTATTTATTGATATTATTCTTGTGTAAACAGTTTTGGGACTTATCTTTAGGACCTATTTATGAGCCATATCAGAAAACTCATTTTGTTAGCTTGTATTCAGACTTCCTTTTGACCTAAAGTGGTAATATAATACTCAGTTACAGCCTACTAGGCTTTGGATGACATTTGTCTGTTTTCAGAAACCAACTCCATCTCTAATGAAGGAACAGGAATAACTGTTAAATATCTCCAAAGGAATGAACCATAGGCTCTGAAGGTGATTAAAATGTGAGCCTAGAAATGTTTTAGGCAAAAGCAGTATATTGTTGGAATAAGAGAGTACTCCTCTAATGTGGTTCATTTGAATGTCTGTGTATGCTTATTAAAAAAGAAGCATCATTATCTTAAAGTCACACCTGATGAACTCATTGATGAGTGACTTAAAAAAACTGATTTTTACTCAAATATTTGGTAAGACCAAAGTACTTGCTCTTGAAGCACACCACATACAAACATCACACACACACACACACACACACACACACACACAAAGTAGCTACGCTGGTGAGATGAGTTTAACTATAGAACCCAGTGAGGTCAGAATTAAATCATTTAGATTATCACATCTTGACTTCATTGACTACAAATCAAATATAGTATTAATTCCTTAGCCACTGAGTCACTGTAGACAAATCAAGATAAGGGAATGTATCTATCTTTAGAGAGAATAACTCTTTTGAATCCTATTTTAGTTCTAACTTATGTCAATTTCTACTAACAGATATAAAGAAATCAAAGTAGAGTGAGCCTGAGAATATTAAATAGTGTAATTTTGCCTTAGTTGGGTAACTATGAATGTTAATAATTGGAGTAAATCAATATAAACAGAAGGCATTTTAATATTTTATTAATTTTAGATAAGTGATAGAAACAACAACAAAAACAAAACAAAACAAAAAAACACAATGGTACAGCAAATCGTTCAAAAGGAATATTCATCAAACAACATTACTGAAACAAAGTGAACATGATTTAATTTATTCGAGTTAATTTTAGTATTTAAGGCATGGAATACTTAGAGAAGACCTTACGTTCTAGGGTTTTATCTCCTGTATGGTTCATGTTTCCCAAAATTTTGCAATAGTGCATCACACATTGTGAACTCTCGGTGAAGACTGATGAATAAGATGTTATGGCTTAGACTCTTAGGATAATGTAAAATGCTTTTCCAGAAAAATACTCCAGGAAGGAAGATATTTTTTTCTAAGGTCATCTATTTATCAATTGATGTCTTGAAGCCTCAAAATTAACAGTCTTTTTGACTTTCATTCTAGAAAGTATTTAATTGAACCTTAGTAAGCTCACTGATTTTATAATTTTCATTGGCAGCAAACTCCGCATATTAACTAGACACATACACAAATTAATTTTTCCCCATTTGCAATCTTCTACTTGTTAACTCAAGGAAATTCCTTGAACTTTTATTATTTGGGGGAAATAAATAATACTATTCTTCTCCATGAGATTTATTTTGTGGTCCTTCTTTAGCATACTTTCATTCATCTTTTTTCAGAATGCTGAGTATCAGTGAACTTCAGTTTTCATTAAATCTCTTCAAGAATCAGTTTAAGTGACTGGCTTTGGTTCATCATTTGTACACCATATGGTGGGAGATCCTTTAAAGAAAGTGCATGCAGATAACTTGAGAAAAGGCAACCAACTTTATGCAGCTCTTCTATGCCTTTGTGTCAATGGAGTCTGTCTATCTATCTATCTATCTATCTATCTATCAAACTTTATGCAGGTTCCTCTTCTATGCCTTTGTGTCAATGGAGTCTGTCTGTCTATCTATCTATCTATCTATCTATCTATCTATCTATCTATCTATCTATCTTGATTATTATTATTGCTTCTGTATTTAAGATTCCTTGAATAACAAAATTCAGATCAGAAATTCTCATTTAAGATATCTTGGAGTAAAATATCTTCAAGTATTTAGCATTGTATTATAAGCACTTTTTACTGGCACTGAATTCATATCACTAAAAGAAAACAGACATTATCAATAAATGAAAATAGAAATGTAATTTTATCAGTGTTATGGTTCTTCAAAACAGGTTTAAAAATCCAATGCACTTGAATCTTAAAGGCTTTTGCAAAACTAATCAAACAACCTTCTAAGAAAGGATTTCTTGGCAGGAGTAAGAATTTTCCCAGAACCCTTTTTATGGAGCGATTTCAGTGGAGGCTTCTTTAAGGGTGGGACTCTTTTAGGGGTTTGCAGTGCTCTTGCTATCTCCACATGCTCATTGCAGTAATACTTGTTGCTTCCTTCTGACAGATGAATGAGTGTGCGTTCTGCCAGATCCATGCACTGGGCGTGGACCCAGTGCCCATCTCCATGGGAGCAATAGATCATGGCAGGTTTGTTTAGCTCGGTTGAATAAAATGGTACCCAAGTGTTGATATCCACATCACAAGTAGAGCAGCATGTAATCCAGTAGCCGGTCTCAGATTCATCTTCCTCATCATCTTCGTTATAGATATCAAATTCATCATCACCATCAAAACTATTTGCTTCTGCACTGAAACAAAATTCTTCTGAGTCTTCAAAAGGAGTGGAGTCCCCTGGGTCTTCTGTTGATGTCTGACTATTTGTGAATGTTTTCTGATCTTCATTTATGTCATCTTCAGCACATTTCAACATATAGAAATAGAATGTTTCTGAAACAACCTGCTTATTGTCTCCTGGTATGCCGAGGAAAACAGTTCCATTTCCCATGTTACTTCCAAACCATATCTTGCTGTGCTTAATATCCGGGGTCCAATCCGGGGTCTCCATCTCACGAATTGCTATCTTATTGTCTTCGAAAGAGACGATATTGCAGACCATTCTTTTCTGATTTTCAAGCTGATAGCCACCCACAATAACAAATTCATCCTTATTTGTTTGAGTCAGGATTGCACTGGAGACAGAGATTCCTCCTGGTAAAACTGTGCAGTTCACAGCTGGGCTACCCAAGGGGAGATCGACCCTTATTCTATATAGGTTGGCAGGGCGGACGTTATTGGCAAGTGAATGCCCTCCTAAAATATAAATGGTATCGTTTCTGGCAATGGAGACATGAAAAGACAGCCCATCCTGAAGTTCTGGAAGAATGTACGCCGTAGAGCACCCAAATTCAAAATCCAGCAGGAAAACATGGGGCAGGCAGTCAGCTACGCTGTTCCATTTTTCTGTGGTTCTTTGAGCAGATGGTATGTATGCTCGTCCTCCAAAGAGAACACCCACACTCTTCCCCCGGCTATACACCACGTCGATGGAATGACCATATCTGGCTTCAGGGACATCTCCTACCAGGTCTTTCTCAGTGCAGCGAAAGGTAACTTTTTTGTTGGTCTTACACACAATAGACATGACATAAATTTTATTTGAAAGCTCATTGTTTGGTGTTTTCCCTCCATGGATAATGTATTGATACTTTTCAGGCTCTACGCTGCCTTTGAACATGCAAGTGGCTGGGTAGCGAAGAGGAGGAAGGTAGCAGGAATCCTTAGAGAAAACTGTAGGCTTCAGTTTGAGTTGGTTATGCTTCACATCAAAATGGAATACTCCAGTAGGGCAGGACCTCTTGGGCCAGCCTTTTTGGCCAAAGAAGAAAAGTTGGCCATCAAAATTCATCAGTGAGAAGCCCGGTTGAATTAAGGCTATGTTATTACTGACTGTTATCATCTGTAGTGACATATTTTCTGATCGTGGCTGTGTAGATCTTTTACCTGAAAGAATTATAAAAAAAAAAAAAATTGACTTACTATATCTCTTCTTATATATCATTGTGTTTGAAACATACAGAAAGCATGTTTCAAAAAAAAGTTATCCTCCAAGCCTGCAGTGGGACTGAATTAGCAAAATCCAGGCGCCTTGGTAAGCAAAGAGCCACAGAACCTTCTTGTCTAACGCAATCCAAGCAGCTGGGGCACGTTTTAGACAAGGACTATCCTCCCTTAGATTTCTGGGAGTTGTAGTCCTTTTTCCTTAAAGGACTCACCACTCGTCATCAGAAAGAACTACATTGCCTAGGAATCCATCCTCCATGGGATGTGTGGCTACGATAGTTTGTCTTTGTTGCTCCAGGAAGGGAAACTCCTAGGATGTCTCTGAATAAAGACGCCAGAAGTGCCAAGTGACTAGATGGGAGCCGAGCCGAAAAACTAGGGACTGGGAGGTGAGAGTGGCGGACGCAGACCCAACATCCGGGTTGCGGGAAGGCTGCAGCCGCTGGAGGGGCTGCAGGCAGCCCTCTACCCAGGTGTGGCCAGTGCTTCTCCCGGGGACTCTCAGACTGGTGACCTAGTAGGAAGCACCACCGCTTCTAGCTAGAGTCGGGTTGCCTGGAAACCGCAGCCTGAAGGACGCCGGGCCTAGTGTGGTTGCAGACTCCTGCCTGGACGCTGTGGAGCTCCGCTCAGAATTGCTGGGGCGCGGGGTTAAGGGGGGAACCGAGGTTTAAAATAGCCGCAACTATTCTGCAGAACCGAAAGATCCAGTCTCGAAATATCTGGAGTGAAGGGGAGAAATTACTTGATAATGATTTTTTTACCACTCCTATATTTAGTCTTGAAAATACAGTAAATAAACTCTAGCGAGTGCCACATAAAAGGCCCTTTGTTTGCTCAACTGCTTTTGCTCTGTTCATAAGGTTCTTTTAGGGGAGCAGAAGAGATTCATAAACGCCTCTCTTTCTTCCTCTTTCTCCTTATTCCTCCCTCTCGTTCCTTTCCTCTCCCTCTCACTTCTTTGCACTCTCTCCCTTTAGGAAAATAGAGTTAGTGGCTATTATTTCAGGCTCTTTCCAGCCCCCCAAATTTGAAGTAATTCTTTAGTAACTGTAGTAAGCAGGCATTAAGCAAACAGGTGTCAGAATTACTCAGGATTTAATATTTATATTATAATATTTTTTAAGAAGGTGTTTACTAGATGAAGTAAGCTTGATAAAGTTTTACTTTTATTATCACCTACCTTAGAGAGATGTCATGAGCCTTAATGATACATAAACTCTCTCTTTGCAGAGTGAAGTCCTAGGCACCAATGATTAAAAGAAACAAAATAGCACAGATTCTCTGACTTTTAAGAGTAAATTGTTACTATGCTTCAAAAATAGTATAAAACAGTGGCTGAGTATAGACTCTGAAAGCTGATTGGCTGTATTTAAATCCTGGTTGTTACTGACTACATAAATTTGGGCAAGTAATTTAATCTCTCTCTGCCTCAGTTTCCTCATCTGTAAAATAAGATAATGATTTTACTTTATAGGTTGACGTAAGTGATGGTTAGTAAATTAACGCATGTAAAGAAACGACTTAGCACAAGGCTAAATAAGTGATAGTTATTATGATTATGCTTGAACTTATCAAAAGTAAGGTTGTTAAATACACAATACCTGCCAGTCATGGCAGATGATTTTTATAATGTTGGAGACTATTAGGCTTTAGGATCTGGGAATCTGGTCAGTGGGTATGGATTAATAATTTTTTAGAATAATGAGAATTGGATAAATATATACAACAGAGGTGCTGGTGGTGATTTAAATAACAGGAAATATTTTATTCTTTTTGTTACCCTTTCTGAAGCCCTCATTAAATATGCAGACTCTGAAGTTGAAGTGTCTGAGTCCAAATCTGGGCTCTAAAGCTTAGTTGCTGTGTAACTATTTTGGGCAAGTTATTTTCTCTTTGTTCTTTTCTGTAAAATGGGGATACTATTAGTACTTATTCATTGGTTATTTTGAAGAATAAATGGAAAAACTCATGTAAATCACATAGCACAGAAATATCTCATAAATGTTAGTTGATACTGCAAAGTTTCCTTGGACCACTTAGGATCTATAGGCAGTGTAATGAGGTGTTGGTGGGGCTTTTCTCTTTGAAGCACTTCTGTCGATCAAGTGTAATTAATTCCTAATATTCTCTTCTACTTATTAGTTTTAGTTTGGGAGATTTCTCAAAGAGTGATATTTTAATAATCATCTTGTAGATTATTAAACCAAGTGAAAAATGGTGAATGAGACAGACCATTACTAAAATTATGAAAGCGAGCCTGTCTCCTCGTCAGACCATAGTGGTTTGTAGGTTCAGTGTAACTTGCCTTGCTTATGAAATAACGTGGGCAAGTGTTTTCTTTATTCATGGCCTTCTTTTATGTATACATAAAAGAAGGCATCTGTGCAACTAAGAAAATGCTCTCTATAGGAACTAAAAGGAAATACTATTGACCCTAAATTCAGTAAATGAAAACCATAAGTAATTACACTCAGCATACTGTGTGATGATTGTCAGAGTTGCCCACTTTGGAGTGGAGGGAGAGCTTAGGAAGACTGTTATTGGGATATAAGATGAGAAATATAGGGCTAATGGATTCCACATCGTAATGGGTGAACATACACCAAGAACATTTAATTTTAGACAGCAAACTTTAAAAATATATTTTCATTGTAGCCTATTGGCTTCATTTTAAGGTTGTCATTGGGATTTTGGCTTCTCTTAAGTGAAAATAGGATCATTGTGGATTAGACAGAAACATTTTCTTTGTCAAGACACAAGGAATACTACTCATTTTTTTGTAGCTTAGTTTGGATCCCTAAAGTTTTCTGCTTTGTTCCTTTGATTTCCTGCTGTTGGCACACCTCATAATTTCAGGGCCCTAAAAACAGTGCTAAAGGTTATTACTGTTAACATGACATCTCCTCTTGTAACACAGTTCAAATATTTGTATATTTAATGTTTAGGTTACCCATTTTAAACCATGACCAGATGACTTATATATTTAAGGGGCAAACAGAAACACTGAATGTATTTTTACATTATTTTGACATATTTAGTTTTTAAACTTTTGCTTTATTAAATATATTTTCACTGTAGTAGACTGTTGTATATTTTCCATGATATTAATATGACTATATGAGTCATGTCTTTTTTGTAAGAGTATTTATTTGTTTGTTTGTTTGTTTATTTATTTATTTATTTATTTATTTATTTATTTATTTTAGGCAAGGCAACCTTTGGTTGACCTCACAGATTGCAAGAACCTTGTCACCTTACAATCCTTATTTTTTTTTTTTTTTATTGTTTTACACCTACAGCACCTGGTCTTCCTAGGTGGTAAGAATTTTTAAAAGGTTATACTAAAACTAAAAAAAATCTACTTTCTTTAAATAGGCTAGATAAAAACAGATTTTGAAAAAGAAGACACTGTTCTTCAACTGAAGGAAGTTTCAAAGTCAACACATTAAAGATTCTATTTAAAAGACAGAAATATAGGCCCAATAAATTTATACAAATTTCCCAACCCCATGCTAACTTTTCTCAGCAGGGAGATTTTCGTTTATGCACTGTGAAGCTAGGGCATAGTTGAGAATCAAAAGAGGACTAATAGTGTGAGGTCTGGGTTTGTAGTTTCCTGTGTCTGAACTGACTCTTTTTCCCTTCAAAGTAAAGTACTGTACTCTGAAGCATGAAAACTTACTGATCAGTGTTGCCAATATTTTCCTGATTTCTCCAAAATAGCAGGTAACCTCATGTAACTGCAGTTCATTTAGTGCATGAATTAACCATATCTTGCACAGTTAATCAGATTTGAGGCATACATTATTTTATTATTATTATTATTTTTTGCTGGCAGTAAAACCAGAATTAGGTCATTCTTCTGATACTTATGGCAGAGAAGCATTTATGCACTAAGATTAATACAGGGGCTCTGATGCCACAGGAATTAAATCCTTGTAGCAGCTTGCAACTAGAGAGCCCCATAGTTTCCAAATTCTATATCATACCTTCCCCTCTGGACACCCAATCCACCTGTTAACTAACATGCTGCTAAAGGGGCCATCATCTATCTCTTGAAGTTGACAAATGTAGGCGCCCATCTTTTAGCTTTGGTAGAAATGAAGATATTGGACCTACCTGAAGGCCAGAGGGGCTACTCACCCCTCTCTGAATCTTTGCCGTTAAACGAGGTATTAAATGTCAGCACTTGGGGAAGATTCACTGACTGCCCACTCTGACTGTGGCAAGCAGAGGCTGACGGTAGAGAGAGTGTGTACGTGTGCCTACAGATGTTCCAGTGAACACTGATCTAAAGGGAGTAACTGACTGTGACCTTTTTTTTCTTTAGATGGTTGAGAGAGAAATCCACTAGGGTGTACCGTCAAGGTTTAACTATTTCCTTACTGGCAAACAATGGAAAAACAGTCTGCTTTTTATCTGTAAAGACAAAAGAAAAATCTGGTTGAAACCTGATTTATAATTTTATTTAACCAGTTTAGAAGAACACAGAAGAAAATGAACATAATTACTTTGATTTAAATGAATACTATTATGAATCAAATGGGAAATTCTTTTTTCTAAAGCAGAGACCACTGATACCAATGTCAGTCGTTTTGACCTTGAATTGCTCTTCAGTGGTCTCATTTTCTTTAATGCAAGTCTCAGAAGAGATTCTAATTATTGGAGGCCCACTGCCAACTTTATATCAGGTTGCTGCTGTGTAATATTGTATAGTGGAATGATTAAGACAGTTTGGCTTTGGAGTCAAGCTGACCTGGTTTTCTCTGCCAGCTCTGCCATTTTCCAGATGAGTCAACTTAATCCCCAAGCCTCTATTTCCCCATCTCTGAAATGGGTATAATAGAAATATTTACCTCAAAAGATGGTTGCAAAAAGGTTAAATGAGATAATGTCTTTAGAGTGCTCAGCCAAGAAAGATATTCCAGTGGTCTCAATAACAAAAACTCTATTGGTGGCCTCCTTCTCTCCCATCCAGAAGTTTCATAACCAAAGAAGGCAAAGGTTGACTTAATTTTTTAAATAGACTTTATTTTTTAGAACAGTGTTAGGTTTACAACAAAATCAAATGGAATTTACAGAGATTTGTCATATACCTCCTGCGCCACTCATGACTAGTCTCTCTCAGTAACAACATCACCCACCAGAGGTACATTTGTTATCGTTGGTGAATGACACGTTATCACCCAAAGTCCATATTTTACATCAGGATTCACTCTTGGTGTTGTATGGCTCTGGACAAAGGTAAAATGACGTGTATTCACAATTATAGTCTCATACAGCAGAGGTTCACTGCCCTAAAAATATTCTGTGCTCTGCCAATTCATCTCTCCCTTTCCCCTAACTCCCGGCAACCACCTGTCCTTTTAGTGTTTCCATAGTTTTACCTTTTCCAAAATGTCAAATACAGGTAAACCTTGGAGATATTGCAGTTTCAGTTTCAGACCACCGTAATAAAGCAAGTATCGCAATAAAGCAAGTCATAATCATTTTGCTGGTGGAAGGTCTCGGTTTTGATTTGTTAAAAATGCAAAACCTGTGAAGTGCAATAAAACGAGGTATGCCTGTAGTTAGAATCACACAGTATGTAGCCTTTTTAGATTAGCTTCTTTCACTGAGTCATATGCATTTAAGGTTCCTCATGTCTTTTCCTGGCTCGATAGCTCATTTCTTTTTAGCACTGAATAATATTTCATTGTCTGGTTGTACCACAGGTGATTTATCCATTCTCCTACTGAAAGACATCTTGGTTGTTTCCAGGTTTTGACGTTTATGAATAAAGCTGCTATAAACATCCATGCGCAGGTTTGTGTGTGGACATGTTTTTAGCTTTTTCGAGTAAATACCAAGAAGTATCATATGATAAGTGCATGTTTAGTTTTGTAAGAAAATGCCAAACTGTCTTCCAAAGTGGCTGTTTGATTTTGCTTTCCCACCAGAAATGAATGAGAGTTCCTGTTGCTGCATATCCTTGTCAGCATTTGGTGTTGTCCGTGTTCTGGATTTTGGCCATCCTAATAGATGTGTAATGGTATCTCACTGTTGTTTTAATTTGCATTTCCCTGATGAGTATGATGTGGAGTATCTTTATAGGTGCTTATTTGTCATCTGTATATCCTTGGTGAGGTGTCTTAGTTAAGGTCTTTGGTCCATTTTTTTAGATCAGATTGTTTTCTTATTGCTGAATTTTATGAGTTCTTTGTGTATTTTGCATAACAGTCCTTTATCAGATGTGTCTTGTAAATATTTTCCCTCAGTCTGTGGCTTTTCTTTTTATTCTCTTCTCAGCGTCTTTCACAGAGCAGAGGTTTTTACTTTTAATGAAGCCCAGCTTATCAATTATTTATTTCATGGATCATGTCTTTAGTGTTGTATCTAAAAAGTTGTTGTCATACCCAAGATCATCTAGCTTTTTTTCTATGTTATCTCCTAGGAACTTTATGGTTTTCCGTTTTCTGTTTAGGTCTATGATCTATTTCAAGTTAATTCTTTTGAAGGGTGTTAGGTCTGTGATTAGATTCGTCTTTATGCATGTGGATGTCCCATTGTACCAGAATCATTTGTTGAAAAGACTATCTATGCTACATTGTGTTGCCTTTGCTCCTTTATCAAAGATCAGTTAACTATATTGATGTTGGTCTATTTCTGGGCTTTCTATTCTGTTTGATTGATGCATTTGCCTGTTCTTTCACCAATACCGCATTGTCTTGATTACTGTAGCTGACGTATTTTAAAAACAATTGATTAAAAACAGTTACATCAAGAAAAATGTATTCCACCCATTAAGCCTATCACCTAACCATAAAATTTTTCATTTCTTTGTGCTCTACTTGTTTACCCAAATTATACACATTTTATCTAATTATGAGAATGCATTTAAATTTTATTTTAGCTTTTAATATAATAACATTATTTCTTATACTCTATGCAGTGTGTATTTTATTTTCATCTTTGTATTTTTTAGTAGTTGCCTGAAATTTTAGTAAGTAAATGTAACACAGTTTATCTGATCATCCACCACTGTTGGTCATTTGATGATTATCTGTGTGGCCTAGATGATAGAATTCAGTGCTCAGAGGTAGACAGATTTGGATTTGGGTCTCAGTTGTTCTGCTACTTACTAGCCAAATGACCTTTCAGAGGTTCAGTTTCCTGGGACAATACCTGCCTTATTGTGAGGATTAATGGATATAAAGTGTCTGGTATAAAGAGTGTACACATTAAATCTTGTCTAATGATGATGATGCTATAAATATGTTTGGATAAGTGACCATTTTCATTTTGCAAAATTTTAGGATATACTTTCAGTTTTTTGAAAACTGATGAGTAGCTCAGTTGTTTGGCTGATTCTCATCATTTAAAATGTTGGTCCATCCTTTAAAAAAAGCATCATCATCTTTTCTAATTGCTTTCATGACTACTCTTTCTTTGTCTGCAAAAGAGTATTGGATTATTTCCCTCACCTGTTTATGATGTTATATAATGATTATGGTACTTGAAATTCCAGCATCAATGAGATCTCTTCTAAAGTTGAAATATTGGATATCTCCCCAGTAAATACAAAATAAGTACACGCAGAAACCATGGGTAGGTTTAGGTAAGTGTTTTAGCCTTTGCATTTTACTAACACGGAAAAAAAAAAAAAAGAAAAATAGGCAGTTTGTTGCAGAATGGATTAGTTGTCTCCTGAAGAAACTAGAAATTAGTGACTCATTTGGACAGGGGTTTTAAAACTCTGAGCCCTTACTATACCATTAGGAGAGCAATAGACTTGCAGTGGTCTCAGTCAAAGTCCCAATCTGCCAAAGTGCTCAGCATAGAAACAAAATGTGAAATAGTAAGTAGTATTTATTGAGCATCCACTATGTATAGTCAGGTGGAGAAATAGAACAAAAACCACGTAGGCCTTAAGGAACGTACATGATAGTAGGGTGAAGCAACTTTCGATTGTGGATTAATGTGCCTCGCATTCTTCCCACATTCCCCCATTCACCCTTAAAGTTCTTAAAGTTTCACCAAAATCACAATTACAGGTTACTCAGCCCATTCTCAAACCTTGAGACAGAATCAAATTCAGACTCATACTGAAATATATTGTCTTCTCCTACCTTTAATCTAAGAAATAGTGGACAATTAAAAGATACAAGTCAGTGTAATTACAGAATAAAATAATTTTTGTTCCACAGGGGAGATAAAGGTAATGAGATATACCGATGTATAATTGAACAAAAAAGGAAGCATAATTGGAGAAAAATAGACTGTCAGAGATGGAACGCAGCTTCAAGTTCAATCCCTTTAGTTTTACATTCAGACTACTTAAGGCCAGAAAAGTTAAATAACTTGCCAAGGGTAACACAGCTGCAGGTGTGTGTATATGTGGTAGGTTCAGGTGAGGCAGGCAAGAAACACTCTTCTGTGAACTCATGACAGTTTTATCAAGAAGTCCAATGCACCTCTCAAGCATTACCATCTCCATTTTATAAATAGAGAAACAACTTAAATTACATTGTTGCCCAATGAGTTAATAAGTGTTTGAAATACGGTCAGCGGTGACTTTTGATAGCATTTGGATAGGCATAGACTATTTAAAATTTTTTATAAGTGGCTGATTTGTAATAATATAAATAGTACAGGAAAGGGAGATGTTTGGCTTGTTGAGCAAATCCCACAATAGGAGTCAACTGGCAAAGAGGAGCAAAGAGGAAGGAAAAGGAAATATATAGAGGGAAGCAATCTACAGTTAATGATGGCTTGTCAAGAGAAAACATGACAAATGACAGGTTTTTTATTTAAAGCAATTAGTTAAATATCATCACCTGACCAGAATGACTGGTATTTTCCTATGTTCCGTGTTCTCTGATGTAAGGTGGACTCTTTGCTGTAAAGCGAAAAAAAAGTTCAGAGGTGTTTTACAATGTCGTACTACCAAGAAAATTCTCTTGAGATTTTATTTTTAGAGAAGGAAGGAATTTGTGTTTTTTAATTTCTACTTTTGAGTATAGAAACCATGTTGGTGAAAATAAATTATGTGTGTGTTGTGTTGTGTACATCGAGGCAAAATTGCAAATAAAATGCTGAGAGTAATTGGAAGCTAGGGAACCACTATATTACTTCTTAAAGCCCATTCATAATCACATTCGCAGGAATTTAGAATTAAAAATAGTTGGGAAATACATCTTTAAAATCTTATTTCTTTTAAGAATGTCAAATGAAAAGGTCAATTTTATTTGCAAGAGCTGGCATTTTAAAACACTTAGAAATGAATTCCTGCAAACAAAGGTGATTTGGTTCGGTTGGTCTACACCTGCTTCTAACTAGCTGTGCAGGTTTTGCTT